CCCACACACACACCCACACATATGCACACATGCACACACACACATATATATACACCAGATTTCTGCACAAGACTTTGTAACCCATTGACTCACTGACTGACTCCACAACTCCACAACGCATAAAGCGACATCTCTTCCGCGTTAGTTAACTGTGTTAACACAGTCAGTCAATGCCTTCAAGCCCCAATGTTAACAGAAAATGAGTGCAGACTTAGCTTACCCAGAAAGGGTGTGCGTAAAGGGGGGGGGGGAGAAATAATTTGCTATTTAATTTTCTACTTGTATATAAATATAGACATGTTAAATGTGGACAAATTTTAAGTCCTTGCAATTGCATTCAAGTCTAGAATAAATACTATGTGTGAAAATGTGCTTTAATATATAGCTAGACATGCAATATATCATTCCTTCACCTTTTCTGTTAGTTTCCCACAGTAAAGCATGTCTGCGTGTTGTGTGTGTGTGTGTGTGTATATTGTATATAATATTTAGAGAAAGATTGGACGCTGTACTGTGATGCTATTATATCATGTCTTCAGAGTGTTAAAATAACTTGCTCAGTGCACCTGTAGGCAGACAGATAGATGCAAGCAGGCAGATTGTACAAGGCTTTGGCCTGATTGATTCAAATGTAATTACAGTACATAAACTCCACGCTTTAAAAGCTTTGATAAGTACCGTTTCTTACCTTTTTGTTTTACAAAAGTGGTTTCGTGGTTACTTGAGAAGAACTCCATAGGAGGTGGAATCTTATTCAGATATATTAAACCCTTTGCTGAATCGATTCTCTCGATTTTTTTGAGACACACACACACACACACACAGACAGCTGCTAGTTGCAAGTAACACTGAGAAGTAAATGTAAATGTCGTTTGGTTTAAATGCGAAGCGTTGAGAATCCCAGAGCAAGGTCTTCAGGTTTTTGCCTGGTGTATTTGAACACACGAGATGAAAATCTTACAAAGGAATTTTTTTTTGTCCCTTTGACGGATTGTACATTGGAGTGGTGTGTTCGCATGAATTTGTTAAAAGTTTGGAATCAATTATCTGTCTTATCTTGTCCAATCTATCTATTTATTTTTCTATCTACTGCTGCTTTGATGCCAGATAATTGAGCTGGATACTGAGATAATATCAGTGAGGTCTGTATTGTAACCAAAGGCATTTCCCTCTCACCACTATACATGACATGTTGGCTGTCAAAATTACAGGAACAATTGCAGCCCCCAACGAATTATTCATCCAAATCATTTAAAAAAAGTATATTTTGTAAAAATAATTTTTTTTCGCGGGTGCAGGATATCTTTTGATTACTATTTCTTTATGTTTTTTTATAAAAAAAAGAGAGGGATCATTTTCGTGCGTGACTAACAGGTAAACTCGAAGCCTGCCTTGAAGGTGGAACATGCAGGCAAGCACTTGAGATAAATTAGCCAGAGTCCATTTGTGGGAAATTCAGTGACTATTAATATGTTACTCCACACGCCTCTGTTTACCTAGCGGTAAATAGGAACCCGGTTGTTGGTCGATTGGTGGATTGCTTTCCACGGGTAATAATCCCTTCAAAACAAAAGAATAAATAATTTGGTCACTCAATCCACGACTGTTTGGTGGGACACTGCTGTGCGCAATTGGCTGCTGCGTTTCACCCACAAAATATACAGTCAATCCACCTTACAACATATTAGTGTGAAGCATTTTTGAGACGCCTCAATGACGTGATAAGGGGCTATATCAAATGCAAGGATTATTATTAATTTTTATTATATTCAGATGGTGACAGGAACTTCAAAGTCTTTTGACCCCTGTCTATCTAACCCCCCGCCCCACCACCCCCACCCCCTCGCATCTCTATTTTGTTCACCACGGTTGTATATACACAAATGCAGCATTATATGTGCGGGGGAGGGAGTGGGATGGCAGACTCTAATGCAGAATTTTATTTAGGCTTTTACATTCGATTTCCTTCAAATCAGCGTCCTATGCATTACAAGTTTTAATTTCTTTCTTCCTCTCTCTCCTTTTCTCACTCTCTCTCCTTTTTGTTTTCTCTCTCATTTTTGTTTTCTTTTTCAATACATTTTTTTAAAAATAACGTCTAAAATAGCACACGCGCGCGCACACAGAATCCTATGTCATGACAGAGGCCTCCTTTGCTTCGGTGATTTAATTACCTGACTGCGGTAATTTGGTTGTGCGTGAGGAAACGTCTTTGCAATTTTATTGTGTCACTCTTGTGTGCAAACATTTTGATTTTTTTTTTGTTGGACAAAAAAAAAGTTTGCAGTCAGCCATCTGTTTGTAGAGCGAGAGAAAGCAAACGAGAGAGAGAGAGAGAGAGAGAGCACCATTTGTTTTTTAAATTTGTGAGACATTTATTCCAAAATCACAAGCCAATTACTTGGCTGTGAGGAACGGAGAGGATATTTGAGGTGCGCACGGGTATAGGGAATGCTGTGTGTGGTTTTTTTTTAACACATATATAAATTCTTATATATATTTGTTAGTCGTTAATATTTCACGAGTCAGCAACGGGTGGGTTGTTGGATAGTCTTTGAGGGCTGTTATCATTGAGTGAGAGCGCGGAATCGCTTGTGTTCAAGTAGAAGAAACCCCGCAGAATGGGAGTGAGACGGAGAGTAACTTGGAGTAACGCTAGGCCAATATGCTTCACCTTGATTGTCTGAGCAGGTCATCTGCAGCTCAAGGGCTGCAATTAATAATTCTTAGGTGCTGCTGATCAGCAGGTCCATCCTGCCACATTTGCCTGTGTTTGGCTTGCAGGCGAAAAACGCTGACGGGAGCAGAGTTTTCTCTCTCGGACAAAATCGAGGCGGGCAGGTGAAGAGAAAAATTCCTGCGTGTAGTGTGGTCCTGCGCTTCGATTGAATTGCATCCCACCCCCTCCGCGCCCACACCCCCCCACCTCTCACCAGCTTCCCCGCGCATGAACGTAATCGGTTTGATCGTGGTTTGTGCCACATTGTCTTTATATTGCCGCTGCAAGAGTCGAAAGCTACCAGCGAATTGTTTTGAAGGAAGAATTAAAAACAAAAGAATATAATTCACACCTGATGACAGACAGACACCTCTTTGGGGAGGGAGGGAGGAAGGGAGGGAGTGGATGAAGTACATCTAAAATATTTCTTTTGTGGGCAGAAGGCTTCCCCCCCCCCCCTCCCCAACCCCTCCCTCTTGTGTGAAATTAAAGTTTCATTAAAATAAATCTGCCTTCCTCTGCATCGGGTGCAAATGTTTTATTTTGGTCTACATTAAATCATGATATTTCTCCCACGACAAACGCGGTCAAATCCGTTTTACAGTACAGCCTGTGAAGCACTTTGAGGCGTCTCGATGACGTGATAAGGCGCTATATCAAATGCTAGGATGACCTTCCCTTTCTTTGCAATAATAACAATAATCCTTGTATTTACCTATATAATGTACAGTCACAACGCTACAATATTCTGTGAAGCGCTCCCACATGAAAGGCGCTGTATCAAGCGTAAAGATTATTATTATTATAATAATTGGCATCTCTCCCCAGACATAGAGTCCTGGAGGTTAGAGCACTCGCCTCGCAAGCAAGAGTTCGATTCCCAGGCAGAACAAAACCTTAGGCAACTTTCCTTACTCCCCACACACACAAACACACACACACACACACGCCTCTGTTTAACCAGCAGTTTGTCAGACCCCGATTGGCGGATCGCTTTCCGGGGGGTAATAATTCCTTCGAAAAAAGAGAAATAATAATAATTTGCTCACTCAATCCACGAGTGCTTGTGCGGGACGCTGCTGTGCGCAAAATTAGGTGCCGTGTTTCGCCCACAAAATCCACAGTCAGTGAAGTGATAAGGTGCTGTATCAGACGCAAGGATTATTATTAGTATTATACTGCAAGAGAACGTTTTAATTTGTCAGCCCGCTGTTGAACCAGCCGTTGCACTTACTGAACAGCGTTCGGAGGGCACGCACCATTTTTTGGGGGGGCTGTAACTCTGCCTTTTGTCACGGGAAGCGAAGCAAATTTACTGCGCTGGGCAACAATAGTGCCCCTTCATAAAGGAGCGGGGGGGGGGGGGGTGGGGTATTTGCCGTGACCTTCGGTGCTAATTTACGGTGAAGAATAAAATTCAGTCACTGACTTCGCGGCTGTCTTGCGGGACTGCGGCCGTGGGCAAAATTGTCTGCCGCGCTCGCCCACGAAAAAAAAAACGCCCATAAAATACACAGCGAATTCACTTTACACTGTATCCTGCGAAGCGCTTTGAGCCATCTCATCCACGCGAGAAAGTGCTGCGTCAAACGCAAGGACTGTTATTACTTACAGCAAACGACGACGACAGCAAATTGGGTTTAGATGGGGCGCCTTTCACGTCAGGAGGACGTCCTTTTCACAACAAACCCCGCGAAGCGCTTTGAGACGTCCTCCTGACGACAAAAGGCTCTGCTCCGTGAGCAAGGATTACTATTTACTGTTATCGTTAACGATTTGAAGGGGGGGGGGGGGGGGAAATGTAAAATTTGTGTACGTTTCTTTTGTTTAGAAGCTCTCTTTCCGCCCAGTTTTTTTTTTTTTTTTTCGCCATTAAAAACCGTCGTCGCCTTTGCATTAAGCAAATTCCATTCGGGAGCGGGTCAGGAAGCTCGGAGCCAGCGTTTTGTTTTGCAGAAAAGGCACGGTTGGAAAACAAAATAAGCTCAGGCGCTCTTATTCCCTTTCCCCCACCCCCCGAATTCTCTGCCCTTTCCACCTACTTTTCCTCCTTCCCACTCCCCCGCGCTCCCCGCCCCTACTTTCCTGCATTTTTCGCTATGATTGCCACGTTCCTCGAACGATAGAGATGTCTGTGCGACTGTGGTAGATTTTCCG